GTAGTCCTCGCTTAGCGACCACAATTGGGACTGGCAACTGGCATCGCTAAGTGGAAAATCATGTGACCATGACACACTTACGACCTCACTTGCCCTTTGGTCATTGAGTCACTGTGACTTGCAATTTGACTTCCGCATTCTCCATTAACTCTGCTTGTTGCAAGCTGGTTGGGAAGCATGCAAATGGTCGTGGCACATTGCAATAGTAATAAATATGAGGATTGGTCACAAAGCTGTTTTTTTTTAGCAATGTTCAAAGTTACACCATCGTAACTTTGAATGTTGCTAAATGAGGCAGTTGGTAAGCGAGGAGTACCTGTACATATACATATCAGATCACAGCCAAGCAGGTAGTCTGTAATCATTTATTTAAAGTGTTTTTACCTGTTCTTTAGCCAAAAAGGCATATAACATAACTTATTTATCATCTATAAAGAAAATATACTTCCTGCTCAAGGTATATGATATAAATGATACACCCAAGAAAAAACAATGGGGATGATAAAAAAAAAAAAGCAGATCCTAGCACAATTTGATTTGGAAACACAAATTAGGAAATCTGGAAGTCATTATTTAGGACTAATATACATATTTTATAGGTGATGTTAATCTATATTAGCTACATAACTAATAGAAGACAATGAAACAATTTGATTTGGAAACACAAATTAGGAAATCTGGAAGTCATTATTTAGGACAAATATACATATTTTATAGGTGATGTTAATCTGTATTAGCTACATAACTAATAGAAGGCAATGAAACATTTAAGAAATACATAATAGCAGTGAAACCCCAAAAGGCACCAAGTGTCAACGTCCTCTTACATAAGCATGATTCTCAACTAATAAACTCCTATGAACTTTGTCCATTTTGTAACTTAGCAATTGCTTGAAAAGTAGAAAACAAAACAAAATCACCCCTGGTAACTGAAACTCAAACCCAGAAGCAAAATTTAGTGCTACATGGAACATATAGAACACTGTCTTCTGCCTCAGATGGCTACAGGAGAAAAAGGGAAGATCCCAGAGCAGACATGGCTCTGTATTTCTGAACTGGCTGTGCACATAGTGTAGAGGGAACAACAGCTTCTATCCTTTTAAACTGGCAGCAGCAGTTTAGTGTCAGTGATAAACTAAGAAGCTTATGAAAATAAGGTATTTTCACAGAATCCTTCCACCCCACCTCCTTTATTGCCACAATTAATGTTTCAACCTTTCTGGGCAGATTTCTAAGACATTCAGTGATTGAGATGAAGTAGAAATACTCTGTATTTTTCAATATTTCTTGTATGATATATTAATACTTTTAAATTTCCTGTTTCTGCACACTTAATGCCAGTTGCTTGAGCACATGAGAGTGCAAATATGCTACTGTACTGATATCCCCCCCAAGTTCTGCTGTGCTGATGAGGGTTCTTCTTGGGAGAGATGAGCAAAGAATGCCAAAAGTATATAATACCAGCAGAGTCACCCAAGGCCTGAAGGTCATCCCAGCTGCCCAGTTAAAGCAAGCAGGCAGCAGCAATACAGGAATATGTTGGAGGCAGATGATTACTTTAGTGACAATGGCAAAGGCATAACTTCATCCTGCATGGGAGAAGGCAATGGTAAACCACTCCATATCCTGTTTTCTTTACCAAGTAACCACATGGATAGACAATATAAAACGATTGATAATATAGTGTTGGATGGTGGGCCCCTTGGGTCAGATGGTACTCAACATGCTACTGAGGAAAAGCTGAGGATTTTTATGAGTACTAATAGTACTTCTGATAAGGCTAGATCTTAAGAACATAACTAGATAAGCCCTTGGATTGTCTAGTTGTGATGCTGCAACGCAGGTTAAGAAAATGCAAAGTTGCAAAGACAGAATTACAGTGAGAATGTGAAATATAAGAAACATAAATGTGGAAAAGCTCAACACAGTGAAAGATGGATTGAATCAACCATATATTGACATGTTACACATCAGTGAAATGAAATGGATACTGTGGGGCTGCTGGGATGGCCGGAACTTCGAGGACCAGTTGTAAGCACCACTCGCTCAGCATCATCATAGCTTCAAATAGTCACCACTCGTTCAGCACTGTCGTAGCTTCAAATAGTCACTGAACAAGTGGTTGACAACCGAAGACTACCTGTAGTTGTGTAATGTGGGAATGACCTTGGGAGACAGGGGAAAGAGATGCTGCCTAGGGAACAATCAGATAAGAGGGGGTGTAGCCCACAGCTGCATAATGGAAAGAGAAAAAACTCAGAAAGGAACCTCCCTAACTTATCAGGCTATAAAAGAGACGGCAGGAGATTTGTACTTTCAGATTTCCAAGATTCTATTAATATAGCCTACAATAAAGTAGAATTAGCTCATCTGGTCATGTTTCCTGGCCTATCTGGGAAGGCTGACAAATTGGATCATACAGCCTAGGAAACCAAAATGAAGCAGGAGAATGGCTTACAAATTTCTGCCAATCCAATACTTACAAAATCTTCCAAAAACAAACATGACACCTATATACGTGGATATCACCAGACAGAATACACAGAAATCAAATTGATTATATTACTGGTAGAAGGAGGTAGAAGGTTATAACAGCAAAGACATGACCAGGAGCTGACTATGGAACAGATCATGAACTGTTCATGAGCAATTTCCAAGTCAAGTTAAAGCAGCAGAAGAAAGCCAACCAATTTCCACTACACGATCTGGAACATATACCCACCATTTTCAAGAATATCAGAAATAATTTGAAATCTTGAACCTTATTGAGAGAAAACCAGAGGGACTGTGGATTGAAATCAAAGACTGTGAAAAGAGACTGCCAAAGACCAAGAAAGAGAAAAAAGCAAACTGGATGTTAGAACAAAATTGCCAAGAGAAGAGAAGTCAAAGCCAAGAAAAAGATCTCAGGAAGGAACTGATAGGAAGCTATTAGAAGAGACAAGAAGTAGTATTACAACATCTATAAAGACATTGAAGATGGAAACAAGGAAACTCTTCCAAAAGATTTCCAAACTTCAGGAGGTTCCAAACTCAAATTGTTATGATAAAGAATGCCAATAGAGTAGTGATTCAAAGAAGATGAAACAAGGATGGAAGTAAACTGAAATTCTGTACAGTAGAGATGTCAAATTCCAAGATACCTTAGAAGACATTCCTTATTTACAAATATTAGAAATACTTGTACTCAAGTACTAGAAGATAAAGTTAGATCAGCACTCCAGTCATTACCAAGTTGGAAGGCTACAGGAATTGATGGAATATCTACAGAAATATGACAAGCAACAGAAAAAGAAACTAAAAATTCTAACCAAACTATGCCAGCAAATCTGGAAAATAACACAGCAGCCAACAGATTGGAATACGTCAATCTACAAACCGATACCAAAGAAAAGAGACTTAATAGAGTGTGCAAAATATCACACAATATTCTTAATTTCACATGCTACCAAAAAAATTTGGTTAAATTGTTGGACTTAATACTGAACTCCCAATGTAACTCTGAGTCGTCATTTTCTCAGCCCAATCTACTTTAAAGGATTGCTGGGTGGGGGGAAGTATAATTAGGAGGGATCCACTATGTACTTGGTCTTGAACTCCCAGACAAAAGGCAGGATATGTAATTAATATAACAAACAAACAAACAAACAAAATCCTACTACCTTTAAGTTTTTATTAGTCATATTACCTTATATGTGGAGGTAAAGCATCAAATCTAGTTTCTGGGCTCCACACAATGGCATCAACTCTGCTTTCATGTTGAAAAGTCCTGAGAGTTTTATACTGTATTCCTTCCACTGCTGCATCCTCCTCCTAAAAATGCATGCAATATTTTGATAAGCTGCATAACAAATGAGAAGCTTGTTAAAATCAATCCTACCTCTTTGCCATGAGTCCCTCCTGATTCCTTGCATACTCTTTTCCCTTGTAAACACTGTGTTTCATTATCAACATTAAGTGAATGCTGCAATCTGATGCATACTGGCCTGGGAATAACTCCCACTGAACTGAAAAAAGACACAATTCTAAGTAGATACACATAGCATTTCACTGAAACAATACTTGTACTCCTCTATGCATATAAGCAGTGAATCTGAAAGAAACTATACTGGGTTTAAAAACTACTCAGGTTTCTCTCAAGAGCATTACAAAGGTGTTCCTGATGGGAACTGGATGCTTCCAGGACTACAGGACAGAAGTTAAGACTTGGTTATTCCATCTAGTGCAAGAGGAGGGCATGATACAAGTGAAGGTTGAAATTTGGGGGCGGGGGGACATGACTATATATCCTGTTTATTATCTTAATGCTGTCAATTTTGTTTATATTATGAGTAGGTTTACTGTATTATTTCTGAGGCAGATGCTTTTTATTTTATGCTGATATTGTTAGCCACCCAGAGCCTTCAGGAATGGGAGGCAAAATAAGTAAATAAGCAAATAAATACAAGAGATATTATGCAAAAGGAAGCCTTATTACAAAATCTTATTATGAAATTTCATAAATGCTATCAGGGACCTTTACCAATGAGACAATATGAATATGTGTATAATCTATCGTTTATTTAATAGATGTTATAATTTTAATTTTATAAAGGTTAGATTGTGAAATTTCCACAGGGATAGTTTGTTTTTCTGTTACAGCTAAAACAAAGTCCTGTGGCAGTTTAAAAACTAATAAATCTGTTATGGCATATACTTTATGTTCTACTTTTTAAGAGATTGATTATCCTGAGGGATAACTGGGACACGTGGAAGAGGGAGGAAACAGCAATCATAGGAGGTCAAACAATAATGCGGTGACACTGCCCTAGACAGACCTGGTGTGTAATCTGGGGGTCCTCCTGGACTCACAGTTCCTGCTTGAGGAGCAGGTGGCAGTCATGGCCAGGAGGGCTTTTGCCCACCTTCGTGTGGTGCACCAGTTATGCCCCTTCTTGGATCAGGAGGCTCTCCAGTCAGTCACTCACACCTGGTCATCTCTCGGTTAGACTACTGCAATGCACTCTACGTGCGGCTACCCTTGAAGAGTATCCGGAAGCTACAGCTGGTTCAAAATGCAGCTGCACGGATGATATTAGGTGCCCCTATGATGGCACACGTAACACCTTTGTTGCGGGAGCTGCATTGGGTGCCAGTTTGCTTCTGGGTCCAATTCAAGATGCTGGTTATCACCTTTAAAACCCTACATGGCATGGGTGCAGGTTACCCGAGGGACCGTCTCATCCCCATTATATCAACCCCTCCCACCTGGTCAGACAGAGAGGGCATGATGTAGACCCTGTCAGCAAGAGTATTCGGCAGGCGGGGCCCAGGAGAGAGCCTTCTCTGCCATTGCCCCCACCCTTTGCAATATTCCCCTGCCCAGAGGTGTGACGGGCCCCTACCCTCCTGGCTTTCCAAAAAGGTTTAACAACCTGCCTCTGCCAATGTGCATGGGGTGATATGGGCTCTAACTGTCCTTGGAGGTGGTTAGCGCCCTGACGACACTCCCTTGAATTATTCCCCAACTTTCCATCTTGCTTGGAAGCTATTTATTATTAGGTCTGCTTTATATTGTATTTTAACGAATTTTATTTTTGTTCTAAATCACCTAGAGTTGTTTCAACGAGATGGGTGGTGACAAATTTGATAAATAAAGAAATTAAAAAATCCACAAAGTGCAGATTGTGGTAATTACTAACTGTTGGGTGCACAACATATTTTTACACAGATAAGCTGCTTAATATTTACAATGTAAGAATTTATTTATTTATTTATTTATTTATTTATTCAATTTATATAGCTGCCCATCTCAGACCAGTGACTCTGGGCGGCTAACAACAATAAAAATAGCCAACATTTAAAACAATACCAAAAATTAAATATAAATATAAATACAGCCAAGAGATCTTTAAAAACCATGGATATCAGTACACCATGAAATGGGGCCCTTTACAAGCTCGGGGCCCCAGGCCTGGGCATAAAGCAAGGCCTTCCAAAAAGCCAAAAGGGTCGGGGCCATCCTAATCTCAGGAGAGAGGACGTTCCAGAGGGCAGGCGCCACAGCAGAAAAGGCACGTCTCCTGGTCCCTGCCAGTCGACATTCCTTGGCTGACAGGACCTGGAGCATGCCCAACCTGCCAGACCAGATTGGACAGGTAGAAACTGGGAAAAGACGGCCCCTAAGAATGCCTTGTCTGTGTAATACATGGGTAATAAAATCGAACTTCTTGATGAATTCTAGCTTACCTGCTTTAATATGTATTTGTTCTTTGTAATTTTTTTGCTTAAGAATGACACTAAGATCAATCATTGAGTTTCCTGGGGAAATGAAGTGCTCCCTCGCTGAAATGAACTATAGTCTTCCAAAGCATATGCCATAATACACATATTAGTCATTAAACTGCACAACGCTCTATTGATTTTTCTGCAATGGACTCAGAAACTATCCTTTGGAAACTTGTATTTTATGTATATCCTCTCCATTGAGTTTCAAAAACACTTTCCTCAAAATTTCAGATGTAGCTCAAAATATAATCTTTGCTTCCAAATTATTAAGGCTTCTAAATAAATTTCAAAATGATAAAATATACTAACCTGGAATCTGCAAGTCCCAACAACTACATAATTATTGCCACCATATGCAATAAGTGATTCTGCAGTGCCACTGTCAAATGGATTGAATTCGACCACATGCACATAATCCTTACATTCCACAGTATAGGCTGCTCTTCGGGAAGTCTCCTGCTTCATCTTCAGTAGAAGAAACCACAAGGATAATTTCTGTAGTTGGATAAGGAAGCGAATTCTAGATGCTGAATTCTGCATGCATATTTTCAGCTAAGAACTTAATCTGAAAATCTACAGCTTTGGTAGTTTAATTCTTCCATTTTACTATACATACTTAAATCATTTAAACTACATTTAAACCAATGCAACTTTTGCATAATAAAGGAAAATGAGGTGGCAAAGTCCAACATTGTAGAATGGACTGTGTTACTTTAGATGACAAGATTTATATTGTACTAAGCCAATTGGGTTATCTATATTTTACTCAATTGATTGTATTCATACAACAAATTTAACAGAAAAAGTAGACAGTTTTTGTCTTAATGCAATGCAATGTGCAAACTTAGCCTATTTTTAAAAAAACCTTGTTAAGGCTGATGTTGACCTGTGCCTTATTTTCCTTGTGTATCCATCATGATATTGTGTTCCCATAACACACTAAGCAGAAACACCTGCTTACTATTTGCCCTATCATTTTATTCCTACTCCTTGAGTCACATACCACATACAGATAGTCCTCAACTTACAACCATTCATTCAGTGACCATTTGAAGTTAGCGGGCACTGAATGGACTTACAACCTGTTCCTGAAGTTATGGCCATTGGCCCCCTGCACTCTGTGGCCTTTGCCACCCTATCTGGCCTTTGCTGTCTTCTTGCTCACACTGCTGACCAAGCATGCCCAGCCTGACCCTTCACGAGGCAGTTGCTGGCCGCACAAGGCTTTCTTCCCTAGGTCATTCACAGTGGTTTCCTTGCGAGACCTGGGGAAGATGGCCTCACATGGCCACCAGCTGCCTTGCAAAGGGCCAGGTTGGGCATACCTCATCAGCAGTGGGAGCAAGAAGACAGTGAAGGTCAACTGGGGTGGCAGAATGCACAGTGTCTTGGAATGCAGGGCAGTGAGGGTGGCTGGGCTGTTGTGGCTGGGGCTTCCTAGGGCAGTGGCTTTGCGCTGTGCTGCGGCTTTGTGCCACAGTGCTGGGCAGTGACTTTGTGCTATGGTGCTGGCAGCAGCTTTGCACTGTGGTGCTGGGGCTCCCTGGGGCGGTGGCTTTGTGCTGGTGTGTGGTAGCTTTACACCATGGTGGTGGGGCTTCCTAGGGTGATGGCTTTGCACTGTGGTGCTGGGGCTTTCTGAGGCAGCAGCTTGATGCTGCCCTACTGGGCAGTGGCTTCACGCCACCTGCTGAGGCTTCTTGGGGTAGCTGCTTTGCGCTGCGCTACTGGGCTGAGTTGGGGCTGGGCTCTGCACTGAGGCTCAGGGGCTTCTTGCAGCCCCAGAGCCATAACGTGCCAAGAAGCCCCTGAGTGGCAGCATGGCAAGCAGCCCCATAGCTGACCATTCTGGGGCTGCTTGTCACCCCACGAAGCAGGGTGCAGGGCAGCCAAAAGGGCAGAGATGGGGGTAGGTAGGTAGGTAGGTGGGGGGAGTTGAAGAGGAGGCAGTCTCTTACCTTACCAAGACTTGGGGCTGGGAGGGATCAAGCCCAGAATGGCTTAGGTTGGGGTGGGTACTCACTTAATGACCCACGATTCTTGGTTAACTATGGCAATGGGGAGTGCCAGGATTGCCGTCACTAAGTGATGCAGTCACGTGTTGCAACACGTTACGACTGCATTGCTTAGTGATGGAAATTCCAATCCCAATTGTGGTTGTAAGCTGAGGACACCTATACAATTTTTCTAAACTACAATCTGCAAATTTGCTATCACTGGTTCCCAGAACAATTACAAATTTATTTTTCTAGAAATCTAAAATGGTGATTGATTGAGGTTTGGATGATACACAAAGCTGAGACTTTAGCTAAACAGTCATGCACTAGAATTCTGCAACACATTCAAACAAGAGCATAAATAAAATATCTTTCTTTGAAACACAAAAATAGCAGAGTCTTTTGCAAGGCTAGCATGGTTGCTTCACAGACTGTTCCATCTGTCCCTGCAACTTACAAATGCCACAGATCCTTCGCTGGGAGGAAAACAAAGTGGCTGTGCATGCTTGTTGTGAAGCACAGTCTTACCATATATGACAAAGTGATATAGCAGCATACAATTCCTAACTGGGCTGTTTGGCTTATTATTACGTGAACCAGCTGTTCTTCAGGAAAGCTTTGAAGAATACCAGCTAACCAGTGAAAGTAATTATGAAAAAGTCATCACATGGTAAGATCAGTAGAGCAGGGAAACAATACAATAAAAGAAAAAGTGGAGGAAAATTGATTGAAAAGCAGACACAGTAAGAATGGAATACCAACAATGCACACACATAGAGGTTTGTGTTGATACTTTTTCATATTGAAATTTAGTTACATCTGAATGTTAAAAATATGCTCTTAACCTCTGGACTTGAAAACTAAGGCAACATTAATGATACAGTTCAATAATTTCAGTTTTGGGATTTTAATGCACTAACATAGCATCCATTAATACATGAAATATGAGCTACCAACTGCAGCATCTTTCCTGTATAATACTTAACAGAAGGTCTGCAGTGGTGGTCACTTTATGAAATGGACAACTATATAAATTGTTTAAATAAATAAAATGGCACCAAAGTGACTTTAAATGGCAACGTGCTTTATTTCAATATGTAAATATTTTGCACAAACTGGTTTTAGAAAGAAATGCATTAGCTCATGTTTCATTTACAAATGGGATATGAAAACACAATGCCATTAACTTTACCTTATTTCTTGCAGCTTTGTTCATACAACATAGATATACTGTGGTTCATAATTGAAACACAGCTTATTAAATTAACCCAATAAGTTGTGTTTGGGTTATGAGACCCATGAACTACCCAAATACATTTTAGCCTGATGACAGGCATTGGCTGTAATACCAATCATATTGGGCTGATAAACCTGGAAGGTAGAGTATTCAGAAGATTGGTTCAGGCTTTGTGTAGAAACTTAAGACTTTGCTAGAAAAAGCAAATCTAATTTAAGAAATCACATTAACGGGATGAAAATCCATGAACTAATATTGCACCAGAGAAAAACAAATGGACCAGAGGGTGAATAGAGTATGATGATAAATGACTGAGCATATCATCTTATGCTGGGGATATCAGTTTGATCCAGAAGTCCTGGAAATAAAGACCAATCAGAACCCAAGGATAGCAGAAGATTGTGGGAGGTGCATTTTATCCCATTACGGCAATGTTTTTAATACCTTGTATTCCAACAATAATCAGCCTACCTTACATTAAAGCAAAACATAGCCTGTACATAGCCTGTTCTGAAACCAAACAACAGAAAGCTTTAAAACATACAGTAATCTGATCTCTGTGAATGTGCAGGGATGCCCAGCTCTGTATGCAATTCTTCTTATTCCTACTTCTTCACAGTCTGCGGCAGCCCCAAACTCAAGCAAATGGGTTTCGCCATTACCCGCATAACTACAAACGAAAAGGGATGTCCCCTCTCCAAATGGGGTTTTAAAAACTTTACTTTCTAGCGAGAAGAGAGACCAAAGAAAACAAAAACAAAACCCACCAACCACCCAAAAATTCCTGCATAGTAGGAATATCGCGGGACGGAAGATCTGAGCGTGGTATTAAGGCTGCTTTCCAATGCATAGAAGCGGGACGCGCTTGTTTATCTTTCTTCCACCGATTCTGACTGGGCTAAACGCTTGAGCTAACCACCTGGGTAGCAACCTCCTCCGCTGCCGCGTCCACTGGCACCTACCAAGTTCGACCTGGCCTTGCACAAATCACCCCAAAAGTCCCAGTGGGCGACAGACTTGGAAGACAGCGGGCTGAAGCCCAGCGAGTATTTCTGTATTATACTGTACAGCCTCACCCTTTATAGCTCATATCACCTCAGAGGAACCAGCCTCTTCTTCCCCCGGCCTAGATTTACACGAGAAAAAGAGTTCTTGGAGCGCAGCCCCACAACTAACGACAACTTTCTCTAACACCTGCTTTACCCGTCAAATTCCCGCGAAGAGTTCCCCAGAATGGAGTACTTCCGGATAGCGCCATCCCCCGCCCCGTGGAAAAACCGCTTCCGGGTCGCAAAGCCTTCTGCTTTCCGATTGGCTGATGCCGGACCATTTAAAAATGAACCGCCGCGAACTGCAGCTTGGGTTGGGAGGTTCTGTTTCTTGACGGTGTGGTAAGTGTGAGGGAAGCGAACGATGCTGGGGAAGAAGCGCGTTTGGGGGTTGAGCTTGGCTAACACCTAAGGGAGATGGACGGTGATCTGCTTTGCTCTTGTGCTTAGTCATGACTGGCTGAATAAGAAGCCTAATAGTCTGTATAGCATAGAGGTGTGGCATCCACTTCCTCGTGAGATGGGGTGTCCAAATTTGAAATATAAATAAATAAATATAGCATGAGCCCTGATGGAGCAGCCAGAAGAGCCTTCAGAAACGAATCGGATGAGTAGACGCCCGCAGGCAGGGCATGATTTTAGCAGTCTTCTCCATTAATTATATAGCCATTGTAACTAAGAGCCACTGATAGCTTTGTGTTTCCTATATTTTTCTAGTGTTTTAAAATTTGGCTACACTTGTGCTCGTTGAGACGCCTTATGCAGCGAAGCTGACTTCGTGAAAAAGTATTTTTGTCTGTTCAGAATTGCCTGCTATTTAGTTTTGTCGGATAACTGCAGGTTAATTTACCAGATGTTTGTAACACTATGGCAAAGTGGTCTTCAAGGCACAACTGTAGTGGCTGGCTGGACAGTAATAAGAAAAATAAAGCTATGTATATGTGCTTAACCATGCTAGGTTGTTGCCATGTGGGTTTATACAAATTAAGTCATAAGCTCTGGTTTGCCGTCCCCAATAGCCATAGCTATATTCAAGATACACACTAAACTAAAATGATTGGCTTAGCTTGCTGTGTATTCAATTACTGTGTGTTACAGAAGTGTTAGACTGCAGTCTGTTCATCTAAAGGTGGGCAAGCATGCATGTAATAGTGCTTTTTGTCCCCCCATTTTAAAAATAATACTCTTAGCTCTTCATTATGTCTAAGAATTGGTGATATTGGTTGGAGTCAGGTGGTGCTGAAATTGAATCAGATAAGTATAGAATAGGTGAAACATTGCAACAAAATGATAGGAGAAACATGGCTTGTTTTAAATATAAATATTTACAATATAAAATGTTTTTTAGTCCAGAGTATTTTTGCTTTTAGTGCCCTGTAGAAGCTGCTAAAAGAGAAGTATTAGAGATGCTGGGAGCAGAAGTTGAATTTTTCTCCTCTAGTAGGCTGTTCTCTTTGCTGGATGTAGTTTTTCCTTATCTGAGATGTTATTTTGGCTTTTTATTCAGTGTAGTAGACAATATTTAACTGGCAAAAACTATTTGGTAAGCTTTATGCTTGCATTTGACTCTCAATCCAAGTTCTTATTGATCCAGAGGTAATGGATTTTTTGATCACGGTAGAATTTAAGCTATTCAGTCATTTGGAAGCTGCCTATTCACAAATCTAAGTGGCTTACAGTAATAAAATAAGCAGCAACAATAATGAATTAAAAGTACCTGTTAAAAATCCCACAACTGCTATTGGCCTAATTATGATTCTTGATACTACAACACTTTCATAAAACAGCGACTTTTTACTCTCTTAAATGTTAACAGGTGGGTATAATCTTGACCTTGGGGATACAAGCTGTGCTACCGAGAAAGCCACCTTCTGGGACTTTGCATCCTGAACTCTTGGGAGTAAGTGCTAGGATGTGTTGGGCACATGGCCCTGAAGGTGGCAAAGACCCAAGATATAGAAGGCTTTATAAGTAATAACCAGTTTGAATTGGACCCAGAAGCCTAACGTAAACCAATGTAGCTCTCACAGCATAAGTGTAACTCCGCTAAACCACTTGGTTTACTAGTAGTTAACAAATAGGTAGATACATTCTGTGCTAGCTGTAGCTTTTATGTTATTTTCAGGGTAGCTTCATGTGGAGAAAATGATGGTAGTCAAACTAGGAGATGTTAAGTGCATAAGTCACTGTCTTCACTGTCAACTAGTCCAGGAAAGGTCAAAACTGGCCGGTATGTTGAAGCTGACCAAAGGCTCCTCTGGTTGCAGCCTTTATTTGCTGCTCTAGTAAGAGCTGTCAATCTAGGAGAACCCTTTGATTGCTCATCTGTATGGCTATACAGAGAGCTCACTTAACAGAAACAACAACAATAATGTAAAATACATTCTTTAGGCACAGTAGAAGTAAAAGCCAAAGAAGATATAGGTCTGTAGAGAGGAGAAAGTGGTGAATTGGTTATAGGGGAATCATGAGTGGTCAGAATTACTCCTACTCTGTGTCTATCCTCTCTCAGAAGGAAAATGGAGCCCCAACTGGTTATCATTGTGTCAGTGGGGAAAGGAGAGAATTGCAACTTGAATGAGACAAAGAGAGAATAAGAGAACTTATGCAATTTAAAGACCTAAAAGAGCCAGATGATTACATCCTAGGATATTAAAGGAGCTAGTGGGAAAAATTGCGGAACTCTTCTTGATAAACTTTGAGAAGACTTGGAGGTAAGACCCTCAGAAAACTGGAGGAAAGCAAATATGGGAAACTTCAGAATTTTCAGTTTGATGTCTACACTGGGGAAGTTTAGATAATAAAACAGCATGTTTGTGAACATTTCAATAGGCATGCTATAATTAATAGAAGCCAGCATAGGGTTGTCACAGACAAATTGTGCCAGACTTAAAATTAGATTATAATTACCAAAGATGGACAGGTCAAGTGATGGCTTTTTGGGGGTGGGGGGGACCACTACTACTTCCTTCAAGGCCTGTGGCATCATTTTCTCAAGGCAATGTTTACTTTCTATACCCACTACATCTTGCCCTCTCTGACCATGTGTAGAAGCCAAGAAGGGCATACAGGTGGTTGACCTTTTTCCACAGAGGTTGCTGTCTGCATCCTCAGATGTCACGAGCTTGAGAGTATCTCGGTGATCTCACAAAACGTTACCTCTGCAATCTTATGATGGGCCCTCAGAAGTGGGCATTTTCAATTGCTGCCCCCATTGTTTGGAATTTCCTCCCCATGAAGGTCCATTCTGCTTCTTCCCTCCTGGTTTTTAGGAGAACAGTTAAGACCTGGTTGTTTCATCTAGCACAGGAGGAGGGCATGTCTCAGTGAAGGTTGGAATATGGTGGGCACATGACTTAATATATTTTTTGTTTTAATGTTGATTTTGTTTATAGTGTGGGTGGGCTTATTTTTGATGGGGTGCTTTTTATTTTATGTTGACCTTAATTGTCTCTCCAGAGCTTTTAAGAATGGGAGGTATATAAATAAAGTAAGTAAATAAATAATAAAATGCCTGCAAGCTAGTCTTTGTGGAATTAATGGTCACTACTGTATAGACTGTATTATGATAGGGCTTTGTTTTTATTCTTTAAGTTTTCCTTTTTTTGTGCTCTTATGAAATAAACTGCCTGAAATTGTTCAGACTCTTGCAGTATACAAATAGAAATAAATTAAACATTAAAGGCTTTAAAAGTGAGCCCTATTCAAATAACTAATTTAGATCATAAATACATTTGTCAAGGAATAATTTGTTTATAATTTTTTGAATTCCTACGCTTATTCTATTTATCATATTGTGTCAACTATAAACTATTTCTTCTCCTCCCCTTTGTCCTGTCCTATCCTATCCGTAAGCTTCTTGTTTTCAATTACACTGTTTTCTGCTTATGATTCATTTTCTGAAATATTAAACATAGCGACTACTGACTATTGGTTACTTTGCCTAGGATTGTTGGGAAGTATAGGCCAAGTATACAAAGAGACCCAAGTTGGGAGATTCTCCTTTATCATTTTTGGTATTCTACTTTAAAACCAGTTTTTCAAAAATCTTGAACTGCAGTGCCCAGATTAGATTCTATCTTGCATTTAAGCGTACAGGTAATACTGTTATTTTCCAATATGTTTTTTGTGCCATGTAGTCACTTTGATGACCCATTTTAGGTTGTCTCCTTTTTTGTTTCCTGTCCATTTTTGTATTTTGAACTTTTGCATTTCCTTCCATTGCTGCTATCTCTCCTAAAGAAGCTATTGTGAATTCTTAGCTTTTAAAATATTTGCAAGTTGTCCTGTAACATTTTTTTTTAACATTTTATCTTTGATTTAGGATAATGACTTCTCTTCAGCAAAGCGTGTTGAATATGATTAAATGTTTCCGAAGAAATTGGCGCTTATTTTCAGACTCAGAAAGGACTACTGTGTGTGGTGCAGATTATATGCTGATGGCTTTGCACTTATCTGTTGCTGAAATCAATAAGAAGGTTAATATATTAATTTCAGGGAAGTTTTTTCTGAATATTGAATTCATACATCATCCAAACATATTTGAAGGGTATTTTAATGGTGTTTTGTTCATTATTCTGATGTTTGTGAATAGAAAAATATTTTAATTATGAAAAACTAGCAAAGGATTCATCAATCTTGCTCTTTTTGATTAGGCTGCTTCATAAGGAGTTAATATCTTAGCTTGTACATCACTTAGACTTCAATAAACCCCCAGTTCCTAAATTTGCTAGTTATAGTAAGTTCTTGGATTAAATAAGAGAGCATATTTCTTATGGTTATGGCAGGAAAGGTGGGTGTGCACATTCAAACCTCACATATATCTGAATAGAAATCATGTTTTCTGTTACATGGAGAGAGAGAGACAGCATGATATAATGGTTAAGATGTATGGCTGGGAGACCCAAAGTCAAATCCACCCTCAGTAGGGGAAGCTCAATGGGTAACTTTGGGTTGGTCATTCACTGTCAGTCCAGATAGGGATGTTTTGGTGGTTGCACTCCAGTTATGGAATTTCTTCCCAAAAGAAATAGTTATCCTCCAGATTTTAGACAATTAGAAATATAACTGTCATTGTGTTGGGGGCAACCAATGCACAAGGACTAGAATGCTTTTTAAATTGCTGCCAGTTAGCATAACTTGCTCAGTTTTTACATTTTTTATTGGATGGTTTAATTATTGCATGATGAGTTCTGAAAGAAAAGGGGATATATAAAAAATGTTATTAACACTGGAATCATTTTTTTTTCTTTAATCTCTCTTCAACTGCAAGCAGTTGAAAGATGAAGTATCTCATCAAACATTTCCAAGAAAACTTACTTTCTCTGGTGAGATCAACCACAGAAATTTTATGTTCAAAGACTTTATGCCCTAAAATTGTAAGCAGATGAAAAATAAGGGAAAAGTAGGAAGTAAATCATTTTTAGCTTTATCTGTAATTTTAAAATGCAACTTAAATATCCTTGTTTATGTCTGTTTTCCCAGCATACTGTATATAAAAGAATGTTGTTTTAAACTGAAAAGCTAGACTTATTAGTCTGATTAGGCAGTTTGTAAAACCCAATATAAATATTACTTCTGCCTCATAAAATATATGATGGCTATGATGTGAATTAACCACATGCAGTAATAGAAAAGTTTAACAGTATCTTTGGCTCATTTTATCTGTTAAGGCTTAACAGATACCAAAAGATCACCTTTTGGGTGATGCACAAAATATATATAAAATATTCAGTGAAAGTCCAACAATATAAAATCAAGAATCGAAATAAAGAAAATGACCTAGTTAAACAGAACTAAAATATTTCTACAATTTATAGACCCACATGTCTCACAGCAGTGTACAAAGATTAAAACCACCATAATATAAACCTATGATGCCCTGGTTAAAGAGTAACCCCCAAAAGAAAAAGCTATATCTTCAAGAGATCTCACATAACTGCTTGGCCCAAATGCCTGGGGGAACAGTCAGGTCTTCAGAGCCTTATGAAAGGCTAACAGGGCCAATGTCATCTAGGTCTCTGGGGAAATGCAGTTCCATGGGACAGGTATAGCCACAGAGAAGGCACAACTGTAAAAAGGCACCCACATTGAAAATGTCATAAAAGACAATATTAAAGAAGCATACTAATATTTAAAATATATTGAGATATGCACATGTTAAAAGGATTGGAAAGAAAAGTTGTAAAAAAGGTGCTTTTGCCTTTTTCCCATAGTTATATCTCTCTTTAAAATGTGTTCATTAGTTTTATAAAAAGAAATAAAAGTATTACTTTTAGGGGAAAAAACTTACTTGTAAATTTTGATATAAAAAACATGATTACTACAAAATAATGTCAGAACTGCAAAACTTTAAGAATTGTAGATTTTTCTTCTTCATTTTACCCTTGTGAAATACAATATTCTTGTTGTCTATCACAGACTTAAGCTGTTGAACTTTATGAACTTCCTTTATGAATTAGCCAGCTGGCATTTGGTCCTAGCAAAACATTTTCTGAGTTCTACCACAAACTCTTACAGTCCTTTCTATGAATAATATGCTGTCATGGTGGGCACCTGATCATGAAAACTGATATTTGGACAGCATTTTTATTTGGATTTAAATTGTTTTTACAATACCAGTATAAACAAAGTTAAGCCCTGAAAATTCCTCATCTTGTGAGAAAAGATTTTGACTGAATTATATTGGAACTTAACTAGCTGTTGCACTTTGAAGAACTGGTTTCAAAAACATTAGTGAAAAAATATATTCCACTATCTTTAAGCTACAGTCTTATACCATGTGGGAACGAACCACTTTAAACTCCAGAAAACTTCTGAAATAAATCAGACTATATTTACATTTAGATCTTTTTTTATTTTAATGGGAATTACATTTTATTTATTTAATTAGAAGCTGCTGAATCCAAACAACTCTGGGTGGCTCTTAATACACCAAAACAATATAAAAACAGTATAAGAGAAGCAAACAAAACAGAATGAAATTCAGACAAAGAAAAAGAAGAGCAAGATGGTAAACCAGGGAAATTCTAGAACATCCCATCAATAATTAACATCCAACAAAGCACAAACCACTTTAGTCCAGGGCTTGGGAGAACAGCCAGGTTTTTATGGCTCTTTAGAATGCCAAGTAGATTGTGCGGAGAGAAATTGGCCCAAAATAATTCACTGAACTTCCAGGCTGGAGGATGGATACAGACATGAGTCTTCCCAGTCCTAATCCAACACCTTGATCATTACACTCTGGTACTTGCTCTCATTAGTCACAACTAACTATTATTTCTGTGGGCTTAATTGCAAGTAACCTACTCCAGGAATAATCTAATTTACTGACCAACTTTGTTAGATATATTTTCTACTTTTCCTCCAGAAAATCAAGCCAGTGTAAATAATACTCCCTCCTTTAATCTTATCCTCACAATAATCGTGTGAGATTACTGACCCAAAATCTCCTAGCGAGCATCCATAGCTGAGTGTGGACTTGAATCTGGGTCTCCCCAGTCAGCAGTGTAGTGTCAGGTTCTTGGAATATGATCCAGTTGTTTTGCAGAAGGAAATCAATCAGATCAGACTCTGGTGAGAAATCTTACATGGAGCATCTTATGTCTGTGGAGAGAAAAGGCTGAAATGGCAATAGATAATGGATGTAAAGTCTTTTTCGTAGTTCTTGATCAAATAATTACTTTGATATGTAATAAGGGGGAGCACAAGATGAAACATGTGTTTTGACTTGAGCTCTGAACTGAACAATCAAACTTGAAACATTCCACTGCAAAGTTTCAGTTTGGCCTTCTTTTGGAACAAAACTTGAAACAAGTTTAATGTTTTGTTGGAACAAAACCTACATGCTCATCCCAGATTCCTCCAAGTGCTGCTGGGATAAAGCAGCAAGCAGAAAAAGTTAGATATTGTTTGATATGCAGTACTGCAGAGTCGGTAACGACTGAGCGCAGATAAAAAAAAAAAACATGCACACACAAACTTTCAAAGAACTACAGTACTACTGTTTCTAGTATTGTCATTCATTTTAGAACATTGTATAAATGTAATTCAACAACCAATATAATGTAAAAACATTTGGTCCTTTGTCATATGTTCACCTGTGGCATTTCCATTCTATGTATCTTGTCCTTTTCTGCCTTACCTTTCTCACAACATCCATGGCTTAGTTGCCAGACAACTCAATCATTAACCCTTAGTTGCTTGCTGGAAAACTACAACTTTTCTTTCATGAGAAGAAGGGTGAAGCCCAAGCTACCCACCTACCAAAGCGACAGGAATAACAAATTGCAACCATAATCTTCTCTGCTATTTTGCTCCCATGTTTTCTATTTCCTGCACATTTTATTCACAGATGGTGCATGTGACCTTTGACATTGGTTAAATGTATCCAATCAAAATAGATGCAATATACAATAGGTGTAGGAATCATGTGATGAATTATCATAAATTACACAAGAATAAGGCAAAAGACAGAGGGGATGATAAACATGAAGCTGCGCTTAGATGGCTTGGTTCAATGTCATTGCTGGCTGACCTTACAGCGAAGAATGCTTTTGTAACTCTCATAAGCAAAATTGGATAAAAATTTAGCTGTAACGGATTAGCTCTGTCTTTTCAGCCCAGTTAAGTTTGTAAAGCGCTTTATATCTTGACTGAGGTTGCTCTGAAGAATCAGTACATAGTTATTCTGAATAACTATTTCTTTTTTATTTATATAGCTTTGTGGCGAGTTTAAAGCATCTCTTAGTGAAGTGGTATTACTTTGGAATTACCTTGTTCCTGACAAGCTAGCCATATTACCTGAAAATGCAAAAGCTCCTGAAAACTTTGCAGACATCAGAAATGCATACGCTAACTTTTTAAAGCGCTGCAATATGATGGATCTGGTAGATATATATAAAAAATGTGGGACGCTAGGACTGAAAAATGAAGCTATATCCTCTGTAAGTATGTGTCATTATTGATTTGAATGCACCTGTATCAAATAAAAATTGCTTCTGGTGCAAGGGAGGGAACTTTTATAGCTTTCAGTAGTGGAATCTTTTCTTTTTACTGAACCATGATCAAGACAATAATGGCTAACATGCTAGGTGTGGGCTAATAGGGATTTTTGTAAAGTAGCATCTTTTGTGATTTTATTTGAAAGACTGACAGGAATGTAGTCAAAATAAAGGTATTTAAAAGAAGCTAAATTACCTGCACAATAATCCTGAAATTGCAAAGCCACAGATTAACTGTTTGCTACATTTGTTTTTCTGTTAATCTTTGTAAATGCCTTATGTATTATATGCCTGATAAAATAAGAAAATGTGGTTTTCAGCACAGATCGTTCTCTGCATTGATATATTTTAAACAGAATTACTAGGTTTTAAAGCTGAGGCCTTATCCAAACAGAAGATGTATGTATTGATATTTATTTAATGAATGTGTACACACGCACATATATATAATCATTTTATATATATAGTATTCATTGTACCTAATGAGGTACAGTGCAACACTTCTAAAAATTACTTTAGATCTTATTAATCAAATATGGAGAAAAAATAGCATCAACAGATAAAAATGTTAATGTAACAATCACTATGAAAAAATAAGTCAGCTTTAGAAAAGCAGGCATAAAGTACAGTGGATATTCACTCTTCACTAACTTCAGTGTTTATACACAATAATAGTTATTTATAAAAGTTGAAGAATATACGTAGTTTATTTCCCCTTGCTGGCCAGCCATTCAGCTGTGCAAGGAAAAATGATTTCCTGTCCTTTCTGTTCATTTTCTAACTCAAGGAAGTTGAGTGCTTATCAAATATATCTTCATTTTATTACTTCTGTTCCTCTTTGGGTAACAGAATCCCCAAAGGAAAATATGGAATATGGAACAGCTACATGTTAGCTGAAGAGTAATTTGTAACAGCATCAACTTTAATTGAAACAGTGTTAGGATTTTAATCTTATTTCATCTGCATAGAAAAATGTTTGTGTTTATTACTTGAGCATCCATAAAGTAATATATAAATTTTATAGTCTTTCTTCTTAAATCCTGTTACTTTATCCTACTTCTAGATATCTGGGGGAAGGTTAAATCTGTTCTAGTCTTACCTATATTGTGTTTATTGGTTCTGCTACTTAGATTTCAAGAATTTTCCCAAAGCACGATGCATTTTTTTCTTGTTTTTTTATAAATGGACAACAGTTTTTTAATGTTCTTCTCTATTTTAAAAATGTGAGGGTGGAGCTATTCTGAGAGATCTCAGCACCAGCAGTGCGTGATTCACAATGGTTAACTACCTGAAAGATTTCCCCAAAGATCCAAGTACCAATATTGCAGGATTCTGTCAACAACCTTTCTTTTTGGGATGTTTACCATGATTTATGCAAGGATCAGGAGGCCCCCATAACTTACTTCTCTTAAAAAAAGGTAAATAACTATCAAGCTAGCTATAATTCTGAAATCTCTTCTTTCCCAAAGGTACAATTGTTAGAATTTATTGCTGGAACAGCAGATTTAACAAGTGAGAATAATTCTGTTTCTACACTCTCCATGCCAATGAGCATAATGAACCAGGATAAGGAAGAGGTGAGATATATGACTACTATCTTATTTCCCAACTATTATAACATTTCTTATGAAAGATAGTTATGCTATGCTGATCTATGACCGTAATAAAGATTTGATTTGATTATTATGCTAGCTGTTTCCCTCATTTTAATGGTTAGTGTCAAACCTCTAATTCTTTTGATTTGTTGTTGAACTCCCAAGTCTTGTTTGGGGGTTCTTTTTTTAAATGCTGTGTTACATGGTTTCTAAAAGTCTGACCAGAAATCAAATGGGGTATTTTCATAAGATATATTGGCATTTGAATCATTAACAATTTGGCAGTGAAATAGTATCTATTATCTACTGATCCATATAGATGTTCTAGATGCCAGATTGAAAAGAAAAGTTACATCAATAATATAAAACCATGTTCAGCGCATATTTATCTATGTTAGTTCTCATCTAATTTTTCAAAATGGTGTCAGTAATTTGAAAAATATGTGGATCACATTTTACTATATTAAGTTTCTTAATACATTGCTAAATCATATTTCTAAAGTAATCTAGAAGAAAAATAATAAGATTGTATTTTACTTGTAGCTGCCATTGATGGTGAAGAAAACTTTGTATGCATATTTAACCTTATTGGTTAATTCCAAAAATGACCTGGCTTTTGCTCACATTTTAAACATTCCTGATAGAGGACTTGGAAGAGAGGCTTTTACTGACCTAAAGCATGCTGCACAGAAGAAACAAATGTCTGTATTTCCGGTATGTACGAGAGATTGGTTTGCTTTGCTTTGTGATGACATTGAAGAAAAGTAATAAAATAGTTTTAGATAATTGATTCCTCCAGTTACAAGTTAACTTGGAATTCTTTTTCCTGGTTAAGCAAATGTATATAGAATATTATTTTAGGCTGAAGCGAAGATTACTTTAGTAAACAATTGATAGTATATGATAGTGAATTTTTTTAAAAAAACTTTTCATTATTTTACATTTAAAATTTTTTTCATTATATACTATCAATATGTACATCGCCAACACAAAAATAGTGATTATACTATGAAGAAAAAACCATATTATAGTGATTGAAATAAACTAAACATAACAAAGAAAATTAACAATTTTTTCTAATTAACAAAAAGATCCATATAATAACTGTACATTAATTCAATTATTGAGTTTCTAGTTAAGTCCAGTCCATTTATTGTGTCATCTCATTTTTAGAACACTGACTTTGAAAAAAAAGACAACAAATTTATACTCTTAAGTTTTCTTTTCTGTGTCCTCAAGTCAGTGTTGACTCCTGGTGACTGCCTGGATAAGTCCCTGCAGTTTTCTTGGCAAGCGGTTGGCTATTGAATGCTTCATAGGGCTGGAAAGAGAGTGACTGGTCCAGGGTCACCCAGCTGGCTTTGTGTCTAGGCTGAACTAGAAGTCACAGTCTCCCTCTAGCCTGGTGCCTTCAAACCACCACACCAAACCGGCTCTCTAAATTTTCTTTACAGTGACATAAAATTATCCTCTTTGCTGTATCTAAGGCTGAATAAAGCCAAAGCTCTTCATGAGATAACAGATTCCATGTTTTAGGAATATAATTCAACATTGCATTGAGATCCCTAACTATAATATTTCTTCCTTAAATTATATTAACATATGTAGTGGTTTGAAGCCAAAACAAAGCTATAACAGAACAGAATCAAATCACGTGAGTTAAAGAATCTTCAAATTTCTTACATTGCCAGCGTGAGAAATCTAATGTCCAATTCTTTTAAAATATTCTTTGAGGCCTCCAATAAAGATAAAATAATATTTCCAGTGAATTAATTTCATTTTTAATTTATAGGAACTATATTAAACATTTTAACACCTGGGCCCATTATTTCTTTGAAGGTGGATATTCCAATTCTTCATTTCACAATTCAAATATATAACTGAGCAAACTCAGGGAGGCAGTGAAGGACAGGAAGGCCTGGCGCGATATGGTTCATGGGGGTCATGAAGAGTCGGACACGACTTAATGACTGAACAACAACAACAACAACAACAACAAACTTTCATTTTAATACTTTATAAAATTGTATTGCTGGTTTCCATTTGATAGTTGCATCTCTTAAAGAAGATAAAATGCAGATATCTTGGTGGCCGTTAAAGTATCCAGGCCATGCTTTAGGCCATGCATTTAATATGTGTTTCTGTTACACATTTGGCCAAGCATACCGTATTTTTCCGACTATAAGACGATCCCATATACAAGACGACCCCCACTTTTCCAACCCAAAATTAAGAAATCAA